TTGCTACAGTACTAGGAGCAGTCGGTCACCCGACCACCCCATACAATGCTTATGCATCAAGGAGACCTTCTATAATATTGCTTTTGTATCATAGACCTTACTTTCATAAGTCATTCATATATAGGGTTCGAACCCATGACCCTACTATTGTAATGCAAATTCATCATGGAGACCTTCTATAGTATTGCTTTTGTATCATTGAGTTTAATATCATAAGTCCCTAATATAGGACTAGTCATTGTGCTACAGTACTTCAGGCAGTCGGGCTCCCGACCACCCCATATATATGTACAACTGCAGGTATGTATCTCCGACAGCTCCTCCATACAGGACATCTATACATGGACACCTTCAATAACTTAGGAAAATTTTCTTTTATATGTGAACTCCTTCCACAACTTAGGAAATTTCTTTTATACATGAACTCCTTCCACAACTTAGACAATTTTTAACAAATTTTCTAATTATCTTATAAATGTTATTTATTTTTATTTTTATAATATTTTCGGCTTGTATTTCTATTATTTATCTTATTTTAAAAAAAAATTCAAGTTTTTAATAAATTTATTTATTATGGAAGACAATATTTTGCCTTTAATTTACTATGTTATTGGTCTAATGTCTGAAATGTATTTATATTAATGGTTATTAATGTAATTTGATTGCTTAATATATATCTTTTAAGACTAGTTTTGACGCCCCTTTATATTGAATTTAATTATTAATAATAATATTGGGCCGTCACACTACCTACCTACTCATTTATGATATAAAAATAGGCAAAAAAAACACTCGTGAAGTTTGTTTTTTAACTTTGTCATAGGGATATTTTTCAACTAGAAAATTATCTAAAATATAAAAAATTAAAATCCGTAGAAGCAAGAACATGCGGCTTACAAGACGTTTCCAATCGTAGCTTCAATAATTTTCAAACAATGCGTTGTGCTGTGAGAAGATTAGCGTAGTAGTGAATTAGTAGAACACACAAGTCAGACAAGTCTCCGATGTTCAATAGTTTTTGAACCTACCCTAGACGAACAAACTATCGTATACTGGGTGACTTTTTTACCGTCTGCAAAATAATATAGTTTTTTGGTGTAAGTGAAGTAGAAGTTCTCCTCGAAAGTATTTCTAAAATATAACAAAATATAACTGATAGGCAAAATTTTAACAACAATTCCTTCTACAGCATTTGCGTAAATCTAAAAATAGGTGATATCTCTGGGTGATATTATTTTAAACACCGCGGCGTAGGCTACAATCGCTAGTGAATGGAAGTTGTAAGGGCGAGCGAGACGCATGCATGTTTCTTTCGTTAGGTGAATGCCTACCGATACCTACGATGAATATCGTCGTTATGTAGGCACTAGGTGGCCGAGTGGGAGCAGGTGACACATCGTTGCAGCCTACATTTAGAATCAGGCGTATTCAAAAAGACTAGCTACAATACTTGCCTTCGTAAAGCTTACAGATAGTGCATTTTGATACGACGCTATTTACGAATGCGGATTACTGACGTTCAGCCGGAATGACGTTACGATACGTTGATTAAAACGACAGAAAATGTCTAGCCTGTTTATAGAACGACGAGTTAGGTCTACTTTCATTCAATTTCTAGCCTATTGCTATTGCTATTTCTAGAATATTGCGGTATTAAAGACAACTGTTCTTAATATCTGCTGCATTTGTTCGGTTTATAATGCATGGCACTTAAAATTCAGCATTATCAACCGCACTGCAGAACACAAAAAGCTGATACATTACATGATGTGCATTTCGACTAGGCTTTTATTAATAAGTCTTATTTTTATTTGGCTGTGACATACATTAGTGCCGACCAAATGCAGCCGAAGCCACTCCCTCCCCCCGGAACCGAAAATCTTTGGTATCAGATTACTATTTTTGTGATTTCGATCTTTCCTTCGTACGAGGGCACTGAAAATTGTGGAATCAAGGAAGTGACATAACATTACTATTTAAAAATGTATTTATTGCTTTTCGAAGTATTCTCCGCGAAATTTGACACATTTTTCCATACGATGGAACCAATCATTGAAGCAACCATTCCATTCGGAAGTTGGGGTCTCCAAAATGGCCATTTCGTAGGCGTCCACAGCTTCTTCAGGTGATGAAAATCTCTGTCCACGCAATTTATTCTTTATTTTAGGGAAAGTATAGAAATCATTAGGGCTTAGGTCGGGGCTGTACGGCGTATGGTCTAATAATTCTATGTTTTCTTGCTCTAAAAACTCTTTTGTTCTGTGTGTGGTGTGAGAACACGCATTGTCATGATGGAGGATGATGCGGCGGTTGCAGTTCTCTTTACGGACTTTAGAAACGACCTGTGGCAAACAAATGCTAGCATACCATTCTGCATTAACCGTTCTTTGTCCCTCAAGAGGAATAGTCGTAACATGGCCGGTTTTGGAGACAAACGTGGCCATCATTTTTTTGCAACACTCCGTGAACTAACAATTTTTGTTGGCTTTAACTCATTTTCGAACACCCAAACTCGTGACTCGTGACTGTTGTTTGTTTCGGGTTCGTACGCGTATATCCAGGATTCGTCACCTGATACGATGTTATATACAACATTTAAGGATCCTGCGTGGAATCTTTCGAGAGTTCTGACGCACCAAGTAACGCGAGCCGCTTTTTGCTCTTCACAGAGCCAATGCGGTATCCATCGGGAAAACAACTTTTTTACACTTAATTGTTCATGCAAGATTATTTGTATTTGACTCATGCCAATGTCTAAAGTTGCCTGAATTTCGCGGTATGTCACATGTCGATCTTCCTCAATCAGCTTACGCACAGCATCAACGTTTTCTTGGGTGACTGCTATTTTTGGACGACCTTGACGGGGATCATCACTGAGCTTGACACGTCCACGTTGAAATTCAGCAAACCAGCGATAAATTGTGGTTTTGGATGGGGCTTCATCACCAAATGCAGAAATCATCCGGTCAACACACTGTTTTTGTGTTAAACCACTTCGAAAGTCATAATAAATCATCGCTCTTGAATTTCCTCGAGTCAATTCCATTTTCTCAACGACTAAACAAGACAAAACCTTGTGACAAGACCGAGAATCTTTTATTAAATAAATAAATGGTATTTGATTTTTAAAACCAATGAGTTTTCAATTAAAAAGATTTTAATATGACAGGAACAGTGGAAATATTCCATTCCCGATACTTTTAGTGCAGCCTAGGTACTTTCACGGTTTAATTATATGTTAAATTATATCATGCATTATAATGAATTCATAAACAGTTTTTAATAATAATTTTTATGCCTATCATATACTGCAATATCCTAAATGCATTTAAAATATCGAAATCAATATTTACAAACTATGTATATTGATTGATATTTACAAAATTATACTACATTATTGTTGTTTACAAAAAATTACGTGTTTAGCAAAATTGCAGTTGTTATTCAAAATGTCCATCGTTCTTTCTAAACACAAACTAGCACGTCTTTGTAAATTGCTTGTTAAACTTTCACTAACACTTTATGCTTCCTCTGTACTAATCGTTTTAGTTTGACCCACAAATAAAAGTCTAGAGGTTTTACGTCTCGTGATCTCGCCGGCCAATTCACAGGTCAGCCGCGACCTATCCACCCAGTGATTTATATATTTTTATTATATTTATATATTACATTAGATCAGTAATAACCGCGACAAAGCGTTGCCACTGCACATATGACCACAGCCATATGCCTAGCTAACGTCAGTTCAGTGTTCAATGTGACGCCGACAGAGTTGAGCCGCGACAAAAATGGGTAAATGCCTAGTGAAAGAATGCTATTCAAGGTCACAAAAACGTAATAAATCAAGCGGAATCACTTTCAACACATAATTTTTAGTTCTTGTTTTCATATAAACATAAAAAAACCTCAAATAATAAAATAAAATTATCGAATATTGCCATTGAGGTTCAATGTTGCCACTTTTCCGCATTTGTGACTATCCTACTTTAATGGCAGACTATATAATTAATGGAGTAAGTTAATTTGTTACCTCTGATTTTAAATATTTTGAAATTTATAATAAAAACTACGTTTTAACTTTCATACAAAATAATTAATTATTCTTATTTTAGTTTATTCATGAATTATCTATTAAATATATTTTATTACCTACTTATTTTATATTAATAATTTTATATTATTATATATAATTTTATATTCGAAATAATTGTTTTTATTATGTTAGTATTTAAACTTTATTTTCAATTAGTAGTAATTATTGATAGATCAATTTCATAATATGTTAATGAAGGAAAAAAATGTAAAATATTAGTGCCATAGGCTTTTACTTCTTCCTTCCTTTTTTACCAGACGGTAAAAAAGTTATTCAGTATAAACAAATGGTGATTGAAAGACATTTTCGTGGATGATCGTGGAGCTTCACAACAAGATTCTCTCTCTCATAGTGAACGATTGTCCACTGTTTTTCTGGTTGGCTATAAGATCTATACTAATTAATCCCAGCTTCAGAAGAATGGTTGCGGAATTTTAACATTGATATTTGACATATCAAATATGTACAATTATCAAACAGAATGCTACGTGTTACCGGCTATGAGAATACATAGCCCCATTTCGGCATAACTTTTGGATATGCCAGAAATATTCACTAGATGGTTTACGATACCCAGAACAGCGAAGGGTAGCAACAAGGTAGCGAAACGTCTGCTACTACAAAACTACAATCATTAATCCCCCTGCCAAGATTTGTTTTTGGGTCGACATTTCAGAAAAGAAAGCTATTAAACCAAATAATTGAATTTGGAATCCCAATTCCAATGTAAGATGTTGAATTTTTAATGAACCATTTTAAGAAAATGGAAATTTTATAGGCAAGGACCTCAGTCCTTGCCTATAAAATTTCCATTTTCTAGATAAAATAGACAGATTTCTTAGATAAAACAAAATAGTTGAGTATGAAGAGCAAATTTTAATTTAGTTTAAAAAAAATAGCTGTTATTTTATAAATTCGACGACCAATGTTCCTTGATATAGTCTGCTCCTCGTTCCGCTACCATCATGATAGTGCCTTGCGGGTTACCGGTGGTTAGAGTTGGCACTGCAGAAGCGTCGATAACTCTCAGACCTGTAAAATGGGAGTGCAGTTTGAAATGATTAATCTTCGTATATAATAACATACCTTTTTAAACGTAGACAGAGAATTTTTAAATATCTTTTGAACTTTATTATTGTCAGCCTGTTGGCGACACGAGATAAACATCTCATTGAATCATTCATTGTTTCTTAAGATAAATATCGAATTTATGTTAATTTTATAAAATGTTAGTTTCTGAGAGAAATAAAGATATTTGTATTAACTTTGAGATATGATAGCTGATTGCCATGTAATCCGAAATAAAGAATTAAGAGCATTATCATTCGCTTTAAGCACATTTTAATTATATAATAAAACAAGACAGTCCGTTTCACAGCCTATATCATTTCAGTTCTTAGATAATTCTTTAATTTAAGGATTTTTAAAGATGGCATATTTCTCATCAGTAATCAATAAGCTGGATCACCGTACGTTATCCCTCATGTCTTACACTAATCGTTCCGCGGAGTTTGTTGTTGTAATTAGGTATAGTATTTACATAGTGTAGTGTTGTGGATCAATCCTAATGATATAACATGAACATTTTAAGATTACTTAGAGTGGATAACGGGAATGTTTCTAGCGTTGCGGATTGGAGTCTGCATTCTGTAAACGCGTTTAATATCAACCCCGCCATTACTTCAGATTTCATAGACCACATATCCTTGCAAAAGAACACCGATTGCTACCAGCGATGACTTGCGAGGCTATTGAAATTAAAAAAAAATCTTAATTTCATTAGAGAAGATGGATGGGTGCTACTATCTGCTTGGAATCCTTTAATTAATAAAATTAAATCCAAATTCAAGCATACGACTGAAGAATGGATTTGTAGTTGGGTTTTTCTTAAAACGAGTTTACATAAAATCCGTCTGATAGTGAATAGATGCTGCAGTACGTCGATGTGCTGTCGTAGATTTCCTATATCTGAGGGTGTCAAAATTTAAACGTGTTGTCACCTCCGAGTACTGAAATTGAATGCCTCGTTACCATTAAAAAGAGTCTCGCTATTTCGTGAGTATTTTGTGAGAGTGTAGTTTATATCCGACGTATTCGACCTAGACATAATACAGCTGCACAATGGCTCTACCACATTGGAATATCTGGTAATGTGATCGATACCTAGCTTTCTAAAAGCAGCGACGCTTTGCTAAAATTTGACGATTATTAAAATTTCTCTTTATCTACGTCCATCAGTGGACTTTTATGGGCTGATGAAAAATAAAAAAAAGATGAGTGAGGCTCGTTTCCTGTAATGGACCGGTTCGATTAATATAATATTGGTGCTAGCTTACCGTGTAAGTTGTAGACGGAGAGCGTGTGGTCGAGTACGAGGCCCATAGCGGCGGTGCCGACCTGGTGGTTCTGAGGGTCGGTGTTCACGCGCGCCATGCACTCCAGCCACTTGTCCGACCACTCCGTTAGAGGTGCGCATTGCGATGTGAACGCCGAGTCCAGCTTTATGCCGTATTCGTTGCGAAGTATCTGCAAACAATTCGAACGAATGTTATACTCCTCCAAATATACAATACAAGGGCCGAAGGCTTTATCCACGCATTGGGTTTCGGTGGGGAAGGCGCGGGAATGCTACCACCCTGTACGGAGACCTCAGCGACGGGGTCGTGCTTTGTGGTGGTGGTTTGGGGCGCAGAAGAGGGCACCAAGGATAGAGCGGGTTTAAGGGCAGGCAGTCGAGAGCGCGACACACTGCCTTGGCCCACACGTCCGGGACAGCTTTTGCCTTCGCGCTGGTTACGTCGCGGCGCTTTGGAACACACGCGATAGTTCGCTAGGTGTCCCTCTTCGCGGCAATTAACGCAGCTCGGAGGCTCTGCCGTCTCGGCTGTTCGGATGTAGTTAATAGTGCCGTGGTCAACTAGGCACTCAACGCACCTAGGCCTAGTGTAGCAGTTTCTGGCCAAGTGACCGTAAAGTTGACATTGGTGGTATTGGCCAACGATGCTCCTATTTCGGGGAGCTCCAATTGCAATCTCAGTTAAATTGCATATGCGTCGGACGTTAAATATCTCCTTGCCTTCCGGAGACAGGTCTAGAATGACAAGGCGTAACTAAGAATCGCTTTTTGTCGGTCTGATGGTGCATTAGAATGCACCATCATATCCCTTTGAAAGTTTTCGTGAATTTAAAGCATGTACAAAAATTGTCTTATGACAGACGCTTAGATTGCTTAAAGTGACTGTATAGAATGTCTGTTAAATGTGCACGTGTACATGTTTTGTTACACATTTGAATAAATCTTCGAAATATTTGTTTTCTTATTTATCAGACATGCAGGTTTTCTCACGATGTTTTCCTTCACCCACGAGCACGTGCACTTAAAAGCACTTAAAATTGCAATTAACAATGTCATTGGTGCCGGCGGGAATTGAACCCGGATTGCTTGCGTATTATATTGCGTCAGCTGTGGTCCTTCACTGCTGGCCGTATGAGGACGCTCAAAGTCGCTCAGCGGGCTATTAGAGCGACTTTGAACGTCCTCATACGGCCAGCAGTGAAGGACCACGTCTCAGTTCCGTAGGTCATCACTGGCAACACGCACTGGTTGTACAACTTAGTCTTCAGGTTTTGATTATACCTGACGAGAAGATGCGTCGTAATTTCCCGAACGCTGTCCAGCCGAGTTGAATCCGTCGATTGACCTCTCGGTCGAAGTTGGTCTTACCTAGTCGGACTATATGTCCCAGGTAAACGTACTCGTCAACAACTTCGAGCTTAGTGCTCTCAACAACTACCGGCATAGGTGTGACATGGACATTAAACATGATATTTGTTTTGTCCATGTTTATCTTAAGACCTATCTGTTGGGAGGCACTATTGAGATCATTGAGCATAGTGCTTAAGTCCTCCAGCGATTCTACCATAAAGACTATATCGTTGGCAAATCGAAGGTGAGTGATGTACTCGCCATTGATGTTAATACCGTATCCTTTCCAGTTCAGTAGCTTGAAAACGTCTTCCAATGCAGCGGTGAAGAGTTTCGGGGAAATAACGACACCCTGTCTTACACCTCTCTGCAGTATGATAGGTTTCGTACTCTGGTTCTGTACTCGGATAGCCATCATAGCCCTACTGTACAAACACTTCAGCACTTCGATATATCGACAGTCAACTTGGCACCGCTAAAGAGACTGTAGCACCGCCCAAATTTCGACGGAATCAAAGGCTTTCTCATAGTCCACATACGCCAGGCAAAGTGGCAGATTGTACTTCTGTACAATTTGCTGAAGGATATGTATGTAGTCTATGGTACTAAAGCCTTTTCGGAAACCGGCTTCGGCTTCGGAAGTCGTCGAGTCTGCGTGCGAGACGACTCTCGAAAACAGCACGTAGACGCGGCTCAGAAGGGATATCGGTCTGAAGTTCTTCAAGAGGGCGTTGTCATCTTTCTTGAAGAACAAGACCACCGCACTTCTGCTCCACGCCTCCGGAGTAGTGCCCTCATGGAGGACGGAATTAAAGAGCCTCTGAAGGAATTCAAGTACCAGTATTCCACCGGCTTTCAGAAGCTCCGCTTTAATTCCATCCTCGCCCGGGGACTTGCCATTTTTAAGGTGCTGGAGAGCCATTCTAATCTCGCTCAGACTGACGTCCGGGATATCATCGAAATAGTGTCGGATAAGACTTGCTCTTGGATCGTTACTCACACTTGCGTGTGGCTCCAACGATGATGTGTACAGCTGCCCGTAGAACCTCTCAATCTCACTCAGAATCTCAGGTGTTCTGGAAACGATGCTGCCACACTCAGTCTTCAGACAGTTGGCTCTTACTGGCAGGCAGATCTCTGGTAAAGACTTTGGAGCCCTGGTTCCGCTCGATCGCTTCTTCAATACGAGCAGTATTAAAGTTGCGCAAGTCTCGCCGCATGCATTTGGAGATCTTTCTGTTAAGTTGCCTGTATGCTGTCAAATCTGTTGATGATTGCAGCCTCATCTCCCGTCTAACAGCCATGAGATTAAAAGTGTGATCTGAGAGTTTTTGTGTTCTTGTGTGGTGGGTCTTGCAAGACTTAGCTCCGACCGCATGAACAGTTTCCACGAGCTTGTCATTCATATCGTCCACTGCATTGCAATCTTCTAGGCACTGAAAGCGGTTACGTAACTCTAGCTGAAAGGTTTCGGGATTCTGGATTAGAGCACGAGGGGGACGGAGCGTTGACCTCATTAGACGAAACCTCTCCAACTTAACGTTTAGGTTCAGTGTGCCTCTAACCATTCGGTGATCGCTGCCAGTTTTCACCCTTGCGTACACTGAGACATCACTGAACAGTTGGCGTCTGGTCGTCATAATGAAGTCAATCTCAGTTTTTGTCGAACCGTCGGGGCTTGACCAGGTCCACTTCCAGTAGGGCCGCTTCTGGAAGAAAGAGTTCATCATAAAGAGTCCTCTTTCTTCATAAAGTCGGCCAGCTGCTGGCCCCTACGGTTCCGTCGCCCTACTCCAAATTTCCCTAACTTCAGCTCACCGCCTTCTCTTGTACCTAATTTTGCGTTCAACTCCCATCTCAAAGTCTCCCATCAACACCGTGTAGTGGGTTTTGGAGGGATGCATGGCTCTGGAAATATCCTCATACATTTCCTCCACCTCCTCATCGGGATGTGCCGAGGTTGGTGCGTAAACCTGTATGACCTTCAGCGAATATAGTTTTTTTTTTTTTTTTTGGTGATTCTGAGTATCAGGTACGCGACCCTCGTCGACACACTCCCAATCTTTACAATATTGTTGACGAGAGACTTGTGGACGATAAATCCGACACCTCCTTGGGACAGATGGTCGCCCTCCCGGTGATAGAACAAGTTGCCGGACTCGAGGATTACCGTGTCCTTCCCCTCTCTTCGGACCTCGGATAATCCAATAATATGCCAGCGCAACCTGTCTACCTCTTCTTCCAGCTCCAGTATCTTCTCGTCATTCCTCAGGGTGCGTGCGTTATATGTTGCCAGGTCGAGTCGTCGTAGGTGGCAACCGAACCTCCACCGGAGATTCTTAGCACCCCTTGCCCCGCCGTTACCATGGTCGCCAATGTAGCCAGGAATAGCTGGGCCGCCGGGGAATGGGGGCCGTTTGTTTGCGTCGTTATTCATGGGGGGATATTTGCCATAGTTGCCACGCTTGGCGAGCGGGTTGGCAACCGCAGTTTTTTTTGTAGTTGAAGATGCTGCTGCCCATCTCCTGCCTGTCTCCCTCTGTCGCCTCTTACGACACCCACGGGGGCCGCTTCTGGAAGAAAGAGTTCATCATAAAGAGTCCCTCTTTCTTCATAAAGTCGGCCAGTTGCTGGCCCCTACGGTTCCGTTGCCCTACTCCAAATTTCCCTAACTTCAGCTCACCGCCTTCTCTTGTACCTAATTTTGCGTTCAACTCCCATCTCAAAGTCTCCAATCAACACCGTGTAGTGGGTTTTGGAGAGATGCATGGCTCTGGAAATATCCTCATACATTTCCTCCACCTCCTCATCGGGATGTGCCGAGGTTGGTGCGTAAACCTGTATGACCTTCAGCGAATATCGTTTGGTGATTCTGAGTATCAGGTACGCGACCCTCGCCGACACACTCCCAATCTTTAGAATATTGTTGACGAGAGACTTGTGCACGATAAATCCGACACCTCCTTGGGACAGATGGTAGCCCTCCCGGTGATAGAACAAGTTGCCGGACTCGTAGTATCTTCTCGTCATTCCACGGGGTGCGTGCGTTATATGTTGCCAGGTCGAGTCGTCGTAGGTGGCAACCGAACCTCCACCGGAGATTCTTAGCACCCCTTGCCCCGCCGTTACCATGGTCGCCAATGTAGCCAGGAATAGCTGGGCCGCCGGGGAATGGGGACCGTTTGTTTGCGTCGTTATTCATGGGGGGATATTTGCCATAGTTTCCACGCTTGGTGAGCGGATTGCCAACCGCAGTTTTTTGCAGTTGAAGGTGCTGCTGCCCATCTGCTGCCTGTCTCCCTCTGTCACCTCTTACGACACCCACGGGAATATGGGATAGTGAATAATGTCAACCGCTACTACACGGCACATTACTTGGATATTTACGGACTTTTACAGAAAGAAAGAAAGAAGAAAAACTTTTGACGTTACAATCGTTTCCAATTTTCCTGTCAAGCGTCGCTGCACGCATATTATTTAAAAAACATTGAGGTATACGTTGGTAATATAGTTCGATGTTAAAAAATGCTAAATTGTGCAATAAATTGTGAAAGAATAGCGGGAAATGGAATTTAAATAAAGGAGGAAGAATACAATAAATACGATGAAAGATATGAATTTAATGACCTACAAATAAACTAAACTTTAACATTTTTAATCAAATTGTAAATTAGTTCCATTTATAGGATAACATTTATAAAATGCAATTAAGTTTTTAGATTAGATCTTCTGGTTACGTATCATTGCCTACTATATACTATATATTCACCACATGCCTCATTACTCACAAAGGGTTGGGTAAACCGATTTTGTGTTAAAAGTAAAAAATATATATGTTCATACTTTTTCATCTGATTTTGCGCTTGCCTTGTGTTGGCTTACCAATACTGTACCATTTACTACTATTGGTGCTTTTTTGATATTTTTCATTTCCTTAAACCATATTTACAGTTTTCCTGGAGATCCGGAATTAAAGAATACATAGTAAACATACACACTCGATCGATTTATGATTACGGATGGGTTAAATTATTACGGCCTAGTAAGCTTTTAATAAATGTTACTATTCCGTAACTTTGAATAAATTCCGTAAATACTGTATTATTTATTAAATGAAGTAAGTACTTTCTTAATAGACCAACATTTAGTTTTTGTTTGTTTTGTATTCATAGCAATCCATTGCAATTTGTGGATGTTAATTAACGTAGATAAACAGGCCAAAGTGTTTCAATAATAACAAATAATAAAGAAATACTAATTTAAAGAAATATACACGAATACGTTTTCGTCCGCGTGGATTTCAGTCAAACCACGTTAGCTCTTTGAGGATAAAAGGTAATTTAGCCTTTTTAATCTTTCCAGCTATCTGAATACCAAATCCCGTTAAAATCGGTTGAATGGATTAACATTTCCTATACAAAGTTTTTTATCCATTTCAACGTTTTTATCCAAATTGGCAGTTTAACATCTTACGAGCATAACGACTAAATTAGGCTTTACAGCCTACTTAGCTGTGATGTTTTCACTTTTTTGACTTAACTAAGCATTAAACTAACTCAATTTTATCAAACTAGATTCAGCGGTTTGGCCATAAAAGCCTGAGACAGACATTCGCATTATAATAGTAAAGTATGCATTTCTCATACACATGATTCTGAACAACTCTATTTGTCTATCTTTAATACATTTTGGCAGCAAATTATGTTTTTGTGTTATATGTGTTAAACTAAAATTTTGGAGTTTTTAACGGAAAAATTTAGAACAAACAAAAAATTATTTTCATTGCACTTTTACAAACTGAATACTTTAGTATTTATCTTTTAGTATAAAACTATACAAAATTAATAACAAAAATATTATTGATATATTTCAAAAGAAATACACTCAAGTTTTACCGGTGCTTACCGGTTACCGATAAGTCACTATAGAAGACTACATCCATAGCGGTGATACCATTATAATATACAACAGTTTGCTTAAATGCACAGACTAATAATATGATGCTACACATCGTGAATATGTTCATCAACTTTTTATTTACAATATGAAAATAAAAATATTTACTGCGATTGTATTTTCAATTTTGTACAATATTTACAAATAAATATGTATTATAATTTAAACGATTTATTTTTTTAATATATATGTAAATTCGCTCAGTCTGTCAACACAGCGAATCGGGTTTGTAGTAGTGATAATACGACGTAATTGCTTGTATGTGTGCTCCCGGTGACGCCGATCCTCGTACAAAATAGGGTTGACAGCCATTCTATTGTGTATGACGTACTGTCATAAATATACACTATTGACTAAAACATACTTACTAAAGCCCTTCCTACTTACATCACTTTTGATTATCCTCTGCACGTATTTGGCGCCATCTTTCACCATCACCATATCATCGGGATGGGAGAAGTATTCTGGATAGAATAGTGGAGGCACCAAAGGATCGCTAGAGTTAAGCATTATGTAACCAACGCTGCGAGGTAGTAACGCAACAGCGTTAATTCTGAAAAAAAAGTGACATATTATGAGTAGTCGGTTATATAATATTATGTATGTTTGTTCTTGACAGAGACGGTAGTAAGAATTTTATTCCAGGGCTGCAATCACGGGTTTGATTTACTTTATTTACGTTCCGGTGCTAATTTTACTGCTTGATAGCTAATTTTACGGCATGGTAGTGAAATACCACCAACGTCCTGACACCGGGCAGCTACTTAGAGTTTCTTTACAGAATAACTCAGTAACAGATTTTGACCCTGGACCACTTGATCAGCTGTCGCGCTTACAGCCGCTAGACCAATGAGACAATCCTTGAGTAGATAATCCTCTTGAACTTTTTCAAGAAAATAAACTTTTTAGTTTACCGTTTCTATAAAAGGTTTCTATTACTTTTGTTATTAAAAAAGTACCTATACATTTTAATAATCGATTTTTTTATAGAATAAGGGTGACAAATGAACACTCAGTGAACCTGATGGTAAGTGTATGCTGTGGCCCAATTACATCTACATTTATCCTCGATTAAGAATCAAAACGCAGATGCGTGGTCATCATAAAATAGGGTCTCCGGATCTCTAGATCAATAAAGCAGATAACACTATTTTACGCTGGAATTCTGTGAGAGCGTGGTCCTTCCCCGGTCGAGCTAACCCATTCGTGCTACGTGGCTCAACTACTTATAAACGATTATAAATAAATATATAATGTATGATTATAAATAAAAATATATTAACGATTTTATTACTTACATATTTTACTTATAGTCCTGGTTATATATTTTTAGGTTCAGAATAGTTACAGTCTGTAACTTTAAACTATTCTACCTGGTGGTATCTGCACTGTACTGCACTCTCAGGAAAACAAAGTGCTTTTCACCTAATGAGGCTAATACCAGAAGTAAATGTAGACATAAAACTGGTAATATGGTAATCAACTTGAACTTACGAAATGTTCATTCCTTTGTGAGAACAGTTTCCGACGGGCTCTCCTACCTGGCCAGTTTGTGAGCATTCCGCATAGTAACCGTTGAAGAAGAATTGCAGATCCGGTTGGTTGAGGGTTTTGTTTGCGAGACTTGAGTATGATAGTCCTGTTAACTGGAAAATAAAAAGTTTGGGAACCATTCGTACTATGTACCACAAAATGAAGAATCCTAATTTCGCAATGTAAAAATATATGAAGATTTATTAATTCAGTCCTTACAGCTTATCAAAGTCTACATAGGCCTTTCCATAGATTACCTAATAAGCGGGATATTTACCTTAGGTGACACGCATAGCATGGTTGGTTACTCCAGTTTTTTTTTAATAGGATAGGGTGATAAACGAGCACACAGTCCACCTGACGGTATGTGGTTGCTGTGCCCCATAGACATCTACATCTATCCTCGATTACGAATCAAAATGCAGATGCGTTGTCATCCGTGAGGACTTAGGTGGAATGCCTCGTTTCCAGTAAAAAGGGTCTCCGGTTCTCAATACTCACCATACGAAACACAGCAGCATTAAGCTACTATTTGACGCTGGTATTCTGTGAGAGCGTGGTCCCTCCCCGGTCGAGTCGACCCATTCGTGCTACAGCTATACTACTAGTATAGCTGTAGCATGGCTGTGTAAAGGTTTTATTTGCTAGTCGTTATTAGGAAGACGCTGCTGCTGATTTCCTGGTTTGGTTTTCCCTCTGTTGCCTTTTACGGCACTCAGAGACAATATGGGTCATTCTGTGTAAAGGTCAACATGTGTAAGTTACCATCCTATTTCACTGGGTGGTAGTACTAAATTTTTGAGTAGAGTTGTGGTTCACACCCGCACTGGAGCAGCGCGGTGGAATTATTGTTTTAAAGATATTAAAAGTTACTTTGCAATCATCCACTCAATAAAATAAAATGATGTGTCTTACCTAGTTTGAAGAGCGCCTCTACTTAGCGGTCAGCCACCGTAGAGTCTATATTACATGAAAATGTCTCGTGTAGAGGCGAAACACGTGTCGTATTATCGTCGATGATGTGTCTTTCCTAGAGTAGTGGTGTTGGGAGTAGTGGTGTTGGGATTAGTGGTGTTGGGAGTAGTGGTGTTGGGAGTAGTGGTGTTGGGAGTAGTGGTGTTGGGAGTAGTGGTGTTGGGATTAGTGGTGTTGGGAGTAGTGGTGTTGGGAGTAGTGGTGTTAGGAGTAGTGGTGTTGAGAGTAGTGGTGCTGTGATTGGTGGTGATGAAAATGTTTCTTCATCGCCATGGTAAATCCGCATTAAAAATTGCAATTAACAATTTCATTGGTGCTAGTCGGTTACATGCGTACAGTCATGTTTACGTTTAGTGTTTAGTCCCTGAACTACCATGAAGCTAAAATTTGAATAACCGATTAATTTAAATAATTTATTTTCGATAACTTATCAATCCTCCATCAAACTCCACTATACCGGTAAAAATCCTATGATCCCTAAACTAGGTTTTTCTTAGCGTTTCAAATTTATAATCTGAGATTAAATAAATCTGAAAAATCTTTAATCATATATTATAGTGTAGCAAGCATTGTAATCATTTCTATTGCTTTACCTGAGTAATACCAGTTGAGCTCATTGGCCCTTCTCCTTTTAGCAAGTACTCTGTCAGTACGCTCCAATCTAGAACTCTTCTATTCTCTATCTTTTTCAGTGTGAAGTAAAGTGTCATTCCGATATGGTTACGCAAGTTCTGCCCTACTGGTAGGTCAGCCACCACTGATATGCCATGTTTTTCCAACATTCGACGAGGACCAATACCAGAGTGGAAAAGAATATGGGGAGTATTCAGTGCACCCGCACTTAGTATAACCTGAAATAGATGATGACCATTAGCGGGGTAGCATTACAAAAGATGTCTTGTAAACCAATTAAACACTAACGGCCGAAATTATAAAAATGAACATCAATTTAATATGTGTTAAAAGTTGCGCTGGTTGCGCTCTCTTTTCACTAAATGATAATAGAGAGAGAGACAGGTATACAGATAATGCATATATGTTATTAGTAAGAAAAACGATAATCAATAAATAATATTGCAATCACTAAAAATCTACGACTTTAAAGGTTTAAAGGTTAGAGACAGACTGGTCCCACGTACGTGTGCGATGCAACACTCCTACGTTGTTATACACACTTGACCTACGTATGGAACGTATGGCGTCTTTATCTCATTCTGAGAGTAAGTTTAAAAATGGTTTACTTAGTCTGATGTTCATATACGAATATATACAAGCCACAAAGAAAAATATTTTTCTTTTACGAACTCAATATATTCGTATCTTAATTTTTAAGTAAAAAAGCGAAGATTTGTGGGTTTGGTGAATTTCATACACTAGTAAAAGAACTGGAAAAAGAGGATGATTTTTTCAGTAGTTTTGAATATCAACCTTTCGACGTTTTGCAAGAATAACACAATACACTTTACATAAAAGGTAAATTATTACATATTCATGGAATAATTTACCTTTTAAATCATGACCGTTACAGTCTATTAAAGTCTACTGCTGAACATAGGCCTCCCCCATAGCTTGCTTCATAGGAAGGATATTTAGCTGGAACGCTTGGCAAGCGCGTTGGCAACTGCAACTTTTTATTTTTAGTCGCCTTTCGTCAGTCGGAGTTTTGGACGTTTAGATAGTAATTCTGTTAAAATGTATGATTTATAAATAATGCAAACAAATACCTACATGAATATGTAGAATACAATGAGTTATTTCTACAATATGTAAAATCATATCTAATTTCTAATCGTAACTGTGCACTTTGATAAAACTACGAAAAACTATTTTTTATTTTTAACGATATTCAACACACAATATAAACATTCGTATCGTCTTTCTAAACCGATGAGCTGTAGTTCATTCCCATTTTGACAGCATTTCCCATTGTGTTTCTAATGCTATTTTTACACAAATCAAGAGTCCAGATGTCATAAAGCGTTGCATATGGTGCGTATGTGAGACCAGACTGAAACTATGAAAGTTTTTCAAAGCTTATTTTTATTTTTCTTTTCTCTCTTTTTACATATAATACGAATTTCACATTGGGAAATATCAGTAAATAGCAATTTATTTCCAATTTGAGTGGTGTTGAGACTGGGGGACCTAATTCTCTCGAGGCGATCGTCCAACCTCCCTCTGAGCTATAACTGGAACTCTCTGGTATATAGTGTATTATCTATGACTGAAACTAATCGCTATTAGAACTTAAAGTCAGTAAAGTAACACCTTACATATTAGAGTAAGAAAGGGTTCGTTTCGCTGTCCAATTGCGTTTTGCCGAACTTTAGACGCTCCTCCGTAAATATATCACATATTTATTATTTAGATACAGGTTTACCCTCGATGTTTTGCTTCAGCACATAAGTAAATAATTTACGGCTCCATGGCGCAGTGTAACGTTTTTTTAACAAAAAAAAAATCAGCACTAAAAATAGGAATTAATAATTTCATTGGAACTTACGGGCATCGCTCGAGCTATCACCACGCTTTTTTATTATTTTATTATTTAATTAATAATTTAAAAAGATTTAAAGTAACTTACTTCCTTAGCGGCGATCACAGTTTGAATTTGACCTTTTTCATCGTAGTATTGGACGCCATGCGCTACGTTGTTCTCTATTAACACTTTAAGTACATGTGCGTGCAGTTTCACATGCAGATTTGGTCGCTCCCGCCTTGGCTTCAAGAACGCTCTCGCTGTCGTGTATCTTTGACCGTTTCTGAGAAAAACCAACCATCAGTTCTGTTTCCTCGTTTCCAATAAAAAGATTATGTACTTCAAATTCAAATTTACCAGTAGATAACAAAATAATCTAAAATTATTATGGAGTGATTATTCAATCATCAGATAAAAGTTATCTATAACATAAAATAAATATTAAAACATAAACAAATAAAAAATTACCGTTGTATAAACAAAATTGTTTAATTGTTTCACTTTTATATTAAGTTAGATGATAATTTATTCCGACGGTTTGACAAAAAATGAGATTGACTTCATTATGACGACCAGACGGCGACTGTTCAGTGATGTCTCAGTGCTCGCAAGGATGAAAACTGGCAGCGATTATGGAATGGTTAGAGGCACATTGAACCTATACGTTAAGTTGAAGAGGTCTCATCTAAAGAAGTCAACGAACCATCGTGCTCTAATCACAAGTTACGAAACCTTTCAGCTCGAGTTTCAAAACCGTTTTCAGTGCATAGAAGACTGCAATGCAGTAAACGATATGAATGATAAGCTCGCGGAAACTGTCCATGCTGTCGGAGCTAAGTTTAGCAAGACCCGCCGCAGAAGAACACGAAAACTCTCCGATCACACTTCTTAATCTATTAGCTGTTAGATGGGGAAAGAAGCTGTAGTCTTCAACTGATTTGACAGCATACAGGCAACTGAACAGATAGATCTGCGAATGCATACGGTGGGACTTACGCAACTTTAATACTGCTCGTATTAGAGAAACGATCGAGCGAAACCATGGCTCCAAAGCCTTTGCCAAGGATCTGTCTGCTAGAAAAAGCAAACTGTTAAAGCCGAGTGCGGCAGCTTTGTTTATGGGACACCTCAAATTTTGAGTGAGATTGAGAGAATCTATAGACAGCTGCACAAATCAGCATCGTTTCAGCAACATGTAAGTGTGAGTAATAATCCAAGAGCAAGTCTTATCCGACATTATTTCGATAATATTTCGGACGTCAGTCTGAACGAGATTAGAATGGCTCTCCAGTACCTTAAAAACGGCAAGGCCCAAGGCGAGAATGCAATTACAGTGCAGTTTCTGAAAGTGGATGGAAAATCGGTACTTAAAGTGCTTCAGAAGCTCTTTAATTCCTCCTCCTCGTCCTTTTAATCCGCGATAGTGGAACTACTCCGGAGACATGGAGCAAAAGTGTGGTGATCTTGTTCTTCAAGAAAGGTGACAACACTCTCTTGAAAAACTATAAACTGATTTCCCTTCTGAGTCACGTTTACGTGCTGTTTTCGAGAGTCATTACGAATTCTCTCGCACGGTGACACGATGACTTCCAGTCTCCCGATCAAGCCGGTTTCCGAAAAGGCTTTAGTATCATGGAAAACATACATACCTTTTTTTTTACATGGGGAAATGCCTACGCATACCCGCCTCACGGGGGCAAGGACGGGTTATGTCGGACTCGCACCGACTAAAACCCCATGGTGTTCCACCTTCGACGCTTATTGGCAGGGCCACGGGAACGCTTTCGCACACATCCGCAGCCCCACCAGCGCCTGCCGCCCGATGGCAGCACCTCCTAGGGAGAGGAATATTCCTCCCCGTTCTTCTTCACAGGTAAGGCGCACCAGAACATATGACGCGCCTTCCTCCACGGCCTCCAATTACATCTGCGCATCAGACGCCCCCGCGTCCGATGCACGAAGGCCATGGGGCCAGAAAAACCAGCACTTAGAAGTACTAGCCTTCTCGACCCCAGCGGCGGATCTGGTCTATGGCTCCGCCGCCAACCAAGATTCGGCTGCGGAGGATAGGGAGAGCGGCGCCCCGCAATACCGACAATCCTCTCCCCCCGCAGCCCCATCACCACCGCATCAACGGTGCGGCCCCGTTTGAGTCGCGGAGGATAGGGCGAGTGGCGCATCGCCATACCAACACTCCTCTTCCTCCGCGACTCCACCTCGGCTGCAGCGGTAGAGGGTGCGGACACCCCTCTCGCCGCAGTCCACCAACACACATCCGAAGTGGGCTTCCCAAGCCCACTCGGAGTGGCCACCTCGGGCCGGCCCTTCTGCGGCAGATTGTACAAAATACTGAAGAGACAATGAGAAAGCCTTTGATTCCGTCGAAATTTGGGCGGTGCTGCAGTCCCTTCAGCGATGCCAAGTTGACTGTCGGTATATCGAATTGTTGAAGTGTTTGTACAGTAGAGCTACGATGGCTATCCGAGTACAGAACCAGAGTACGAAACCTATCCAACAGCAGAGAGGTGTAGAACTGGACTAACTGTAGGACTTAAGCACTATACTCAATCGTCTCAATAGTGTCTCCCAAGGGCCTATCCCTTGGGAGACACTCTTAAGATAAACATAGACCAAACAAACGTCATGTGTAATGTCCATCTCACATCTATGTCGGTAGTTGTTGGGAGCGCCAAACTCGTTGTTGTTGACGAGTACGTTTACCTGGGATAAACTGTCTGACTAGGTAAGTCCAATTTCGACTGAGAGATTCAACTCGGCTGGGCAGCGTTCAGGAAATTACGACACATCTTCTCGTCAGGTATACCGCAAAACGAGAAAACGAGATTGTACAACTAGTGCGTGTTGCTAGTAATGACTTATGGATCAGAGACGTGGTCTTTTACTGCTGGCTGTATGAAGACGTTCAAGGTAGCTCAGTGAGCTAGGGAGATGACTATGCTCCGGCTTTCTCTGCGTGATAAACTTAGAAATGAGGAAATACAAACAAGAACCAGAGTGACCGACATCATCATCATCATCATTACAGCCCTTCACAAGTCCACTGCTGAACATAGGCCTCCCCCAAGTAACGCCACAAAGCACGGTCCTGAGCCACCTGCATCTATCGACTTCCTGCATGTCTTACCAGGTCGTCACTCCATCTAGTGGGGGGTCGCCCTACATTACGCCTACCGGTACGAGGCTGCCACTCGAGAACCTTTCTTCCCCATCGGTTATCGGTTCTTCGAGCTATATGGCCGGCCCATTGCCACTTCAGCTTACTTATCCGTTGGGCTATGTCGGTCACTCTAGTTTTACTGTGGATATCCTCATTTCTGAGTCTATCACGCAGAGAAACTCCGAGCATAGCCCTCTCCATAGCTCGCTGAGCGACCTTGAGCGTCCTCATACGGCCAGCAGTGAAGGACCACGTCTCTGATCCGTAAGTCATCACTGGCAACACGCACTGGTTTTACACTTTAGTTTTCAGAGATTAAGGTATACCTGACGAGAAGATGTATCGTAATTTCTCGAACGCTGCCCAGCCGAGTTGAATCCGTCGATTGACCTCTCGGTCGAAGTTGGACTTACCTAGTCGGACTATTTGTCCCAGGTAAACGTACTCGTCAACAACTTCGAGCGTAGTGCTTCCCAACAACTACCGGCATAGGTGTGACATGGACATTAAACATGATCTTTGTTTTGTCCATGTTCATCTTAAGACCTATCCGTTGGGAGGCACCATTGAGGTCATTGAGCATAGTACTAAGGTCCGCCAGCGATTCTGCCATAAGTACTATATCGTCGGCAAATCGAAGGTGAGTGATGTACTCGCCATTGATGTAATACCGTATGAGTATGAAAACGTCTTCCAACGCAGCGGTGAAGAGTTTCGGGGAAATAACGTCACCCTGTCTTACACCTCTCTGCAATTGAATAAGTTTCGAACTCTGGTTCCGTACTCGGATAGCCATCGTAGCCCTACTGTACAAACACTTCAGCACTTCGATATACCGACAGTCAACTTGGCACCGCTGAAGGGACTGTAGCACCGCCCAAATTTCGACGGAATCAAAGGCTTTCTCATAGTCCACATACGCCAGGCAAAGTGGCAGACTGTACTCTTCGGTCTTCTGTACAATCTGCCGCAGGGTATGTATGTGGTCTATGGTACTGAAGCCTTTTCGGAAACCGGCTTGTTCGGGAGGCTGGAAGTCGTCGAGTCTGCGTGCGAGACGATTCGTAATGACTCTCGAAAACAGCACGTAGCCGCGGCTCAGAAGGGAAATCGGTCTGTAGTTCTTCAAGAGAGCGTTGTCGCCTTTCTTAAAGAACAAGACCATCGCACTTCTGCTCCACGCCTCCGGAGTAGTGCCACCATGGAGAACGGAATTGAAGAGCTTCTTAAGGACTTCAAGTACCGGTGTTCCACCCGCTTTCAGAAGCTCCGCTGTAATTCCATCCTCGCCTGGGGCCCTGCCGTTTTTAAGGTGCTGGAGAGCCATTCTAATCTCACTCAGACTGACGTCCGGGATATCATCGGAATAGTGTCGGGTAAGACTTGCTCTTGAATCGTTACTCACACTTGCGTATGGCTCCAACGATGATGTGTACAGGTGCCCATAGAACCTCTCAATCTCTAAATCTCAGGTGTCCCGGAAACGATGCTGCCACACTCAGTCTTCAGCTTTGACAGTTGGCTCTTTCTGGCAGACAGATCTCTGGCAAAGACTTTGGAGCCCTAGTTCCGCTCGATCGCTTCTTTAATACGAGCAGTGTTAAAGTTGCGTAAGTCTCGCCGCATGCGTTTGGAGATCTGTCTGTTCAGTTGCCTGTATGCTGTCAAATCTGTTGACGATTGCAGCCTCATTTCCCGTCTAACAGCCATGAGATTAAGAGTGTGATCGGAGATTTTTTGTGTTCTTCTGCGGCGGGTCTTGCAGAACTTAGCTCCGACTGCATGGACAGTTTCCACGAGATTGTCATTCATATCGTCCACTGCATTGCAATCTTCTAGGCACTGAAAGCGGTTACGTAATTCGAGCTGAAAAGTCTCGGGATTCTGGATTAGTGCACGAGGGGGACGGAGCGTTGACTTCATTAGACGAGATCTCTCCAACTTAATGTTTAGGTTAAGTGTGCCTCTAACCATTCGGTGATCGCTGCCAGTTTTCACCCTTGCGATCACTGAGACATCACTGAACAGTTGGCGTCTGGTCGTCATAATGTAGTCAATCTCATTTTTTGTCGAACCGTCGGGGCTCGACCAGGTCCACTTCCTGTGGGGCCGCTTCTGGAAGAAAGAGTTCATCATAAAGAGTCCCTCTTTCTCCATAAAGTCAGCCAGCTGCTGGCCCCTACGGTTCCGTTGCCCTACTCCAAATTTCCCTAACTTCAACGCTGTGCTCCCATCAACACCGTTATTAGAGGAATGGAGAAATATCATCATACATTTCCTCCACCTCCTCATCGAGATGTGCCGAGGTTGGTGCGTAGACCTGTATGACCTTCAGCGAATACCGTTTGGTGATTCTGAGTATCAGGTACGCGACCCTCGTCGACACACTCCCAATCTTTACACCTCCATGGGACAGATGGTCGCCCTCCCGTTGATATAACAAGTTGCCGGACTCGAGGATTACCGTGTCCTCCCCCTGTCTTCGGACCTCAGATAATCCAATAACATGCCAGCGCAACTTGTCTACCTCTTCATCGTCATAATGTCTATCATTCATCTTCTCGTCAGTCCTCAGGGTGCGTGCGTTATACGTTGCCAGGTCGAATCGTCGTAGGTGGCAACCGAACCTCCACCGGAGATTCTTAGCACCGCCTGCCCCGCCGTTACCATGGTCGCCACCGTAGCCAGGAATAGCGGGGCCACCGGGAACTGGGGGCCGTTTATTTGCGTCGTTGCTCATGGGGGCCATATTTGCCATAGTTGCCACGCTTGGCGAGCGGGTTGGCAACCGCAGTTTTTTATTATGTTATGTTGTTATTAGGAAGATGCTGCTGCCCATCTCCTTTCTGTGTCCCTCTGTCGCCTCTTACGACACCCACGGGAAGATATGGGGTAGTGGATATTCTCAACCGCCACTACACGGCACGGAGTGACCGACATAGCCCAACGGATTAGTAAGCTGAAGTGGCAATGGGCCGGCCATATAGCTCGAAGAACCGACAAACAATGGGGAAAAAAGGTTCTCGTACTGCTAGGCGAAATGTAGGGCAAACCCAAACTACATGGAGTGACGACCTGGTAAGTCATGCAGGAAGTCGATTGATGCAGGTGGCTCAGAACTGTGCTTTGTGCCATTCCTCGGGGGAGGCCTATGTTCAGCAGTGGACTTGTGAAGGGCTGTAGTGAATGAATTAATGAATAATTTATTCGGTGGGTAACTTTACTCTGACGATTGAAAAATCAGCTTCAAAGTAGCAGCTTAGAATACTTTCAAGTAAGCATGTAAGTCATTAATATTTTATTTAATGACTTACATGTAGTGTGTTTTGTGTAGAGGATAGATAGGGCGTTTGATTAATATACAGTTCTACTAAAACCCAGATGCAATAGGTCGGCCCAGTAGCAAAACGAACGAATCATTTTTGGATAAAAAGTCAAGTTAAAATCAAGTTTGGATAAAATACATACTCGGAAAACGTCTGCGTAATAGTAAACCCTTCGGGAGTTTCAGGATTGACCATATCATCCACAATAGGTAGCCCAGCCTCTTCAATTGCGTGTAGCAAGTCGTGCAGGAACGGGGGTTGATATCTAAACTGATAAAGTGGTCATAAGAAGTGTGTCATTGATTTATTCTAATCTTAATGTTGCCTTAAGTTAAGATTGTGACTTAAAAACCTTTAATTTTGAGTTTAATGTGCCAACTGACTATATAGATGAAATTTTAATAATTTAGATATTTTACCTTCTTGTATCTACCATTTCTTGACATATAAGTTCATTGTGCCTTTGCTAGATGATCATCTTCATATTCAAAACTTGAATAGTTTACCACTGAAAAAAAATCCGTAACCGACTGATGGACATCAAAAAATGTAAGTGAATTGCTCAATTAATCCTATCCCCTGGATGTCTTCTGTATTTATATTAATTACTTTGGATACTAAATATTCAGATACAAACAACAAACTTAATTAAAAGCCTAGACAGCTAGCTTTCTAGCTTAGTTTGAAATTAAATTAATAAAAAAATTGCGCTAGCAAATTATTAATTTGAAATAATTTAACTTCTGGGCAATAGAATTTTCTATGGAAAAGATTCCAAGATATGACAGTTTTTCGTGACACATACTCGTAGTAGAAACGTACGTAAATCTTTAGTTCGTACGTAATTCTTAAAGTTCCTGAACCAATTTACAACTAGACAAATAACTTTATGCCCATCTGTTCAACTGATTTGCAACACAGGCACAAAAATCAACACAGGCTTTTTATTCTTTCAGGAATTATTTTTATTTTGTATAAAATGAACACGTATCATAGAGTTTTGATAGTTTAAGTCAAGTTATCAATGCACTTTTAATTGTATAAATCACAGGATAAAAAAACGTTCATTTTAAACAATTCCTTAGGATCAGTTTGTGTCTCATCTACGGCTCCGTACACAAATAATATTTTCTTTCTTCAGATGAAAATGCTCGGTACTGTTTCAAAATTCTGACAAAATTTTCGAACAATACGACACCTTTGGTAAATTCATAGATTCAGACTGCATAGCTTTTTTTTCTGCAAGCGGTTGTGCAGGTCTAGAAAGACCAGTATCACTACGACCTAAAAGATTTATTGTGATCGATGCTATGGCTATACTTCACTGCTAGGTTAAGCAAGCTAAGTCTTCAATGAATAGGAGTTGCTTAGCTGTGAGCAATTTCATTTCTTCGGGCGAACACAATCTTCCAGGATTTGCAGAGGCGTTCCTTCCGTTAAGGAACAAAACCGGCAGATTCTTGAGTTGCTTAGTCCCAGGAAGGCCATATGCTTTTTAAGACAACAGTGTTCAGTCAGATTATTTTTACCCAATCCCAGGGCTTTAAAAAAATTCGATTAAAAGTCCGGATTAGGGTTTTAAAATAACGTAAGGCTGGTGTATCATACCAGATCTTAAGTGATTTATTGTGATAAAGAGTTTCAAGGGTTAATCGGGCTAGGCTTTTTGAGATTTCAGAAAATGGCTCGATTTAGACGTTTAGACGGTTCACACAGTCTCCAATTAGCTTCGAGTTCACTACGTTTGTTAATCTTAGTGCTAGCAGTGCTGCTTGACTGTCAGAGTTTATATACATTATGTGATAGACCTAGTGTTTTTGTAGATTAATTTCCGCACACAGAAGTATGACGAAAATTTCTGCCTGGAAGATAGAGGTATAGAGGTGGGGGCATTCCCCATAAATTCCAAAGCCTACGTCGAGGCCCATTTTTGACCATATAAAGCTACCGACCTCACAGATAACCTGTCCATTTGGCCAGTCTTCTCTGAAAGTTAAGAAAAGAAAGTAGTTCCAATATATATTTCTTATTAAAAGTGTATAGTGAACGCATGATGTCTGAGATCATGCATAAGGCTGGTGTTTCCTTCATCGAGTCGAGCATGGATCTCAATCTATAGAAAAGCGAGCTCAAACCGCCCTGGTCGCTAATCCTATACAAACTAGCCGTCGTTTCCTGGTCACAATAAAGATCAAGGGGTGTTAGGCACAGAAGTGTATTAAGAGCTGCTCCAGGAAATGATCGCATAGCTCCAGTTGCAACTAAGCTGAGGCAGTCCTTTGTAGACCATTTAGTTTCTCCGCAGTCGTCTTTGGTTAGCCTTATTACACCAGACAATGGCTGCGTAGGTGATAATCGGCCTCACTATGCTGCTGTATGCCCAGTCTGAAGAGCATCCACCTGCCATCCTTCCTCAGTTGTATGCACTATCCCCTTCACCACCACTTCCAGCACCACCATACTAGGAACGACACACTACCGTTGATAATACAACATGTGTTTCATATCTACACGAGACATCTTCAGATGAAGTAAACTCTGCGGTGGCTGAAGGCTAAGTGAGCGGCGAGCCGAAACAGTTGCTGAAATAGCAGCCTGTGGAGAGTAGAGAGAGTGCTAGGAGTGTTATCGAGAGTGGTGTGTTGTCCCTAGGGTGGCGGAGTTGGGTGTGGTGGTACTGCGAGTGGTAGCTACGAGGTTAGTGCATGCGATTGAGGGGGGTTGAAAGGTGCTCTTCAGACTGAGTAGGGCACATCATTTTATTTTATTATGCGAATATGAGCAAATTAAGTTCTGATAACTTCAACCACATGGATTGAAAAATGCCCGAGAATATTGAGTCAAATTCTGGTTTGAATACCTTTAATTTTCCGGCCATGTTCGCACTATTATTGTACCCTTGAACTCGACATTCATTCATGTCTAAATCAAACACTTGCACAATTGCATCAAGAAAGAGGCCAGTAAGTCCTTTTTCCGAAGAGTCACTTACTGGCTTGTAAGCAACAAAATACTCGTGCTTTGACTTCCTGATTAGCGTCAACAAAACGGAATATTAGAGATAAGATACACGTGGTAGAGCCAGGCTGCAGTTATATTAGTAGTATAGTTGTAGCACGAATGGGTCGGCTCGACCGGGGAAGGACCACGCTCTCACAGAATACCAGCGTGAAATAGTAGCTTAATGCTGCTGTATTTCGTATGGTGAGTGTAGAGAACCGGAGACCCTTTCTACTGGAAACGTGGCATTCCATCTCAGTCCTCACGGGTGACAACGCATCTGCATTTTGATTTTTAATGGAGGATAGATGTAGATGTCTATGGTCCGCAGCAACCACTTACCATCAGGTGGACTGTGTGCTCGTTTGTCACCCTATTCTATAAAAAAAGAGTGAGTGAATTGATGACCGGTGTCCGGTGATAGCGTTTCGGTTGATTTCGGCGCTCCCCCGATGACGGCGCAGGTGCGCCTAGGCTACTGCACAGGCCTCCTCCAAAGATTATCACGTAGGGGGTTTTTCGCCATAGTTGCCACGCTGGAATCATCAGTTTATCGTCATAAACAGCAGTTTTTATAATTTTGAATTTTCACTAGGAGCGTGGTGTTACCCATCTCCTATTTCACTTTAGCTTTGTATATTACGATGTAAGTCATTATTATCGAGTAGGATGAGTTATGAGTTCATGTCAGTGTATAGCAATTGTATATTTTTGGTGCTATAGCATCCCCTTTAACTCTTGAACCAATCATAGTAATTAATAATCTTAGATATTCTTTTTTATTAAACTGATAATATTATTTATTATTAGATTTATGAAAAAAAAAAACGTTTAAAAAGCACTATAATATTGGAAAGCTTATGATGTCAGTACTTAAAGATGAGGTCAAGGATTGAATTTTCAACATTAAAAAAACATTACTATTGTCAGCTAACCAAATAACATCGTATTTTCTTTTTATATTTGCCTAACCTAGCAAGCCTATCACTCAGTACCCGCTTGACGTTGAGTTTCGGGAAACCCCGTATATAAGTTGCTAGATCCGCCGCCAAATCAAACAAGTAGCATGCAAGGAAAACGTACAAGCCCCAAAAAGCAAAAACAAAAAATAAAAAAAATTAAAAAAAAAAACAAAAGGAAGATATGGTAAATATAAAAAAAAGGAGAGGGGGTGAAAAATATAAAAGGGATAAAAAGAAATTAATTTTTATTTTATAGTTAATAGAGGGTTAAAAAAAAAAATATAAGAAGGGGATAAGAAAAAGTAAAAAATAAGGGTAGTACCAATTCCATTACAAATTAAAATATATATATATATATCAAATCCCCACAATCAAATTGATTTATATCATTTTATTCACGAGACTGGTGTACTATACAACATGTAACAAAAACCCTGTGGTTCCCGTTAACTGTGTTATCAGAATCAGTATCCAAGCATATGGAAATAATTCTTTTTTTTCAAAAAAACGCATTTAAAAAAATTAATTTTAATGAAAAAATTTAATTTGCAAATTTTATGTGGTTTTATTATCTCTGCATTGGCCGAGGAGTAAGAGGATTGTCAAAGACCCCGCATTACCGATACTCGTGTGAGTTACAGGAAATAAAAGCACATACAATTTGCAAATTAATTTATTTTTCATTAAAATAAAAAAAAATTAAATGCGTTTTTTTGAAAAAAAAAATGTTTCTATACGCTTGGCTACTGATTCTAATAACACACTTAACGGGAACCACAGGGTTTTTGTTACATATTGTATATGTACATCAAATATTTTTACAAGATTCCACGGTTGGAACTAACAGTTAAAAAATAAAAGATAACTTACACGCTGAACTGGTAGTGGTCCGCTATCCGAATGATAGTCATCTTTGACTACAGTCCCAATTTCTTTGTTACCCTCGGTCTTCAAAAAGTAGGGCAAGTTTTTCTCCCATGACCAATCTTTGCCCCAGGTGACGTAATCAGCGGCGTGACCCCGATGATACATCATGCCATTTAGCACACTCGTACCGCCTACGAAATTTGATTTAGTTTTTTTTTTATTTGCCGTGTAGTGGTGGTGTAAGAATATCCACTACCCCATATCATTATATAACCTCGAGACAACAGAGGGAAACAAAATAAGGAGATGGGCAGCCCAACCGGCTTCCTAAGTGTGGCAACTATGCCAAATAATCCCCATACGTGGAAATAGGCGGTAACGGTACCGGTAACGGTATCGGTAACCGTAATGTATCAATGTTATATTCGTATGTTGTTGTATGTATATCGTATGTTATCAATTTGGATTATGGTAGAGTAAAGATTCCTTCTTTTCCCTTTCCTTTTCTTTCCCTAAAGAATTCCCAAACCAAACCCTGAGAGTATCGTAAGGTGCGACTTTAGCGAAATGTCCGTGCGACGAAAAGTGGCGACCATGTTATATGGCCGCTTTTCATGCCACTTGTAGGTCACGGTAACTTTACTACTATGATTACAATAAATTAAATGCTTCCCTAGGCCCAGCCGTACATGGTGGCCTTTTTGGGAAAGGTATCTGTTAAAAAAACTTTTGATAAAAAAGTTTACTCGTGAATCATTTTTGAATCATAAAAAGAAAATTTTTAAAATTTATTCTTATAAAAGGCAGTAAGTAGTAGTAGTATATTTAATTAAGTTATAAATATATTTTATTATATATTGTGAATAATATAAATTTCTTTTTACAATTAAATACAATTTATATGAATTGCGATAATAATCTGAAAGCAATATATTTCGCAATCTTTTTTAAAGGATAAAGGTGACAAACGAGCACACAGTCCACCTGATGTAAAATGGTTAGAAATACCTCGTTTCCAGTAAAAGGGGTCTCCGGTTCTCTACACTTACCATACGAAACACAGTAGTGTTAAGCTGCTATTTTACGCTGGTATTCCGTGAGAGCGTGGTCCTTCCCCAGTCGAGCCGACCCATTCGTGCTACAACTATACCAGTAACATAGATGATAGACAGGACAGTGATGATAAGGTGGAGTCACTCCACCCTATCGTCCCTTAGTAGTCTAGAAGCAATGATAACATAATGTTGCGCGGCTAAGTTGACCTCTGACACTAGCGCCATCTAGAAGATTAAAACCCGATACGACCGCAAAATGAACAATATAGGCTTCGACGAAGGTTCACTAGTGTGGTTGCACAATCCAGTCCGCAGCAAAGGGAAATCTCCTAAGCTTCAAGCTAAATGGGACGGCCCGTACCGGATTGTAACCAGGATCAACGAGGTAACCTCCGGATACAGAAAGGCGCAAGAGGGACTCCTAAGATCGTCCATGTGGATGGCCTGGCGCGTTATTATAGGGCCAATAATGCTCGGGACGAGCATGTCTTAGGAGGGGGCAGTGTTAGGCGGCTAAGTTAACGTCTGGCACTAGCGTCATCTAGTGTCGGGTAACAGAGCGAGGAGAGAGCTTTCCAGAAAATGACATCAATGATCTTTCAACCGACAGCGCCATCTAGTATCGAAACGAAGAACTAAGCTTCTAGAAGCCCGACACTTGAACTTTCGATGCTTATTCGATTGGCGCGCGTATTTACTTGAATGTTCTGGATGTTTCGGTGCTAATGTGTATTTATAGGCGTTGCAAGGTGCGATCGGGGAAGTATTGAATTTGGCGAGACAAGCGAAGTTTCGGAGCGGAATAAAGTGAATCAGTGTGATTAATTGTTAGTGTATTAAGTTTTAATTGGTGTAGTAGGTTATTAGGTAATTCTATCGGCAATTTTTATTGTCACGAACCTCAAGCTCGTAATAATAACTTACCAAGTACTTTTCCCCTAGGCCACATACATCCTTTATCGCCTTGATCGAGACAATATTCACCAGGAACCGTGCGGAACGACCAGTCGACATCTTCGTTTGACCAAAAGTTTCTGTAGAACGATGGTGGTCGAGCACCGATAGGTTCATGACCTCCCGCTTCTAACAGCAGCACCTTAGAAAATAATTCTATTGATGTTTATTATAAAATTATAAGAATGTCGTGAGATATCAGTTTGTAATCTGTTACTATATTCCATTCATCATCATCATCACCTTGTTAAAGTTCACTGCCGGAAATGGGTTTCTCCCGTGGTAGGGAGAATATGATTTAATCGTCACGCAACTTGGACGCGGTTGCCCGTCGCTGCTCTGGGTAATTTACATCTGGGGAAACGGGAACCCCGCCAAAACCTAAATGTGAAAGGGGACCAAGTTTTCGGGGTTGCTAAATATAAATTATCTAAAGGAATTAACAACATTCTTGGGATTGTTATGAAGTTTGGCACCTGTTCAGATAATAATTTTATCGACGCAGTCGAACATCCCGAAAATTGGTTTTACCGACTGGATTATTACAAATTCTAGTTAACGATGTGTCATCTAAATGGTTACACTAAATATTTTAGGTTAAATTGTTTAGTTAATTAAAATTAAAAAAAATATTAACAACATTTTTTAAAATTCGTTCGATCCTCACCGGCACAAACAAAATTCTTAATAGCAATTTTAAGCGCTGATTTACCACGTGCTCGGTGGTGAAAGAAAACATCGTAAGGAAACCTGCAGAGGAATGAGGAAAAAAATATTTCGAAGACATGTGAAGTTCGCCAACACGCATTGGGGAAGTGCGGTGGACACTTCCTTGCCCTAAAACCCTCTCAGAAATGAGAAGAGGCCTGTGCCCAGCTGTGGTACGTACATAGGCTGTAACTTTTACGTTAGGGTAATATGGTCGTCCGGTTAATAATATGGTCACATTCTTATAACTCAAAAACTACAGCCTTGGTTGAATAGATGGCTTTCTGATACGATAGCTCTTCATCAGTCATTCAAATAATAATGGGTCAAAAGGGCGCTGCGCTATCGACGCCATTTTGACAGTTGACATTATAGTAAATATTTTAGTCGATTTAATATGGGGTAGTGCAGTTAGTTATTTTTTGTAGATTTTTCGAAGTGTTCCTAATTATTGCCAAAGCTTGTTTGCAATTTTTTTCTTAATATATTAGATACAGTATAGTTTTTCGGTTTCTAATATATTATGTAGGTATATACACAAAACAATGCCTATGTGTTTCTTTAATTTTTTACACATGTTTTTTATTTCTTTTTCTTTTAGGAAGATTCACAATCTAATATATTCATTTTTATACTAAAATTAATATAAAATATTACGAACATTTCAGAAATAAACCTTAATCTCTACGGTTTTTTAACAAATTAATTTTCCCGCCATGTAATCTGTCAATGTATTTCACCACATTCCTAAGCGGTGGAACCCTTGTGGTAGAAAAAGTCGTAGAAGAAAGTCTTTACTAAAGGCTCAGAACAGTAAAATCCCTATGAAAATATAATATTAATTTTAAAAATCTATTTTCTTCGCAATTTACTATATTTTTTTACAGATAATATTCTATTTGATATAATTTTTTTTTAATTTTTAACCCCTTTTTATAGTACTCAGTTATCATAGTCATTAATCATACTATTCTGGCATTATACATTAAAAATTTCAAGTTTCCAGCTCATCGCGAAGTTAGTTATAATTAGTTGCCAAATTCCACCCGGAAAGATAAACAAAAAAGAAAGTGACTTAATAAAAACGTGGTAAAATATGTGCTATTATTAGCCTTTCTTAACACTCAACTATGAACGAAGGATTGGTAACATATGATATATTATATACTAATATTTTATATAGTCTGTAATTTATATAATAAAATATTGTGAAGAAATTTTTAAAAACGATTTTGATTTTTTAAATATTAGATCACACTTAACTATAACAAAATATTACAGGTGTCAATAAGGATTATTAGAACAATCCGAAAAGATAACAAATGGATTAATGATATAATAATATTCATATATTATAAGTATAATCTTTCAGTTTTACGTCGTAATCTTATTGTGATATCAATTGTAATCTTCTCTGAAAATGTATATTACAGTGGGTGTACGTTGTATATTTTAGTAAACGTGAGAGGGACAAAAATAAGTAATTAAATACATTTCTATGATTTTTAGATTTGTGTGTCGATTTGTTTGAACGGATCACTTCAATACAAAAGAATGATTGTTAAAAAAGTCATAAAGAGTATCTTCGAGTATTATTTAGGTTCTGTTTTATTATTAAAACGTTTTTTATTAAAACGGTATTCCTATATACCCTTATTTATGACTTATATACTAATATGTAATCCGTCAATTCAAACGGGAAAATACCCCGACCTTTTTAAGAGGGCACTAGTTGATCCAGTCCATCTGTGCTTCCGGTTGTTGTAAATTTTCTCGAAAAATATACCTTAATAGCTGATAACCAATTTGGCTTTCGATCTAGAAAATCAACAGAATATGCTGTAATAACTTTAACTGAAATGGGTTTTAAGAACTTGGATAAAAAGTCCAAATGCCTAGCGGTCTTTCTAGATTTTTCAAAGACTTTTTACAGAATTTCGCAATTTCAGTTCCAGACTTACTCGACAAAATGGTAAGAATAGGGGTAAGAGGCAAAGCTCTGGAAATTTTTCGAGATTACCTCATTAACCAATGTGTAAAAATAGATAATGTTTGTAGTGCATACGATTATTTGCGCTACGGTGTACCACAGAGTAGCATATTAGGTCCTACCTTGTTTTTAATTTATATTAATGACCTGTGTAAGATGTCTTTGCCAAACTGCAAAATATTAGTCTATGCAGATGACACTACCTTAATGATCCACGTCTATACCTGAAGATGTTGGAAAAACCACTGAGCATGCCTTGAAACTAGTAACACAATATCTGTCTTTAAATCTCCTCACACTAAATATTCATAAAACTAAATTTATAACTTTTTCATTAAAGCTAGTGTAAATCAATAGAAAGGGTATCGTCGTATTATATAAGGAATTCATATCAGAAAACTCATACATATTTAAAACTTTAAGGAAAGTAGCTGATAAACACATAATAAACATGGTATACACTATACAGTGCCCTATGTCAATTGCTTCTTGCTTATTGCATCCCGGTTTGAGGTACTGCTAATGGAACAGTTCTAATATCATTGGAAAAAGCTCAGTAAGCAGTTTTAAAAATTATAAATTTTAAACTGATTTTATACGACACATCGAAGTTATACGCCGATTGTAAAATGTTATCAGTCAGGCAACTTTATATCTTACGTGTTATTTAAAGAAAACACACGGAAACAATTTTGATCCTAAGGTGTTACGCAAACGCCGATCTAACACACACACACACACACACACACATTTATTATTTTTTCATTTATTACTTTCTTTTTACTTTTTGCTAACCCATTCTATGTCTTGCCGATACCGATTTTGTGTAGAGCGCTGACTTCTATGATACAGGCCCTGCCTAGTTTAGAAGTCAATCGATATAGATGACCCAAAACAGTGCTTTATTTCAGTCTTTGAAGAGGCCTATTTTCAGCAGAGGAATTGTGATGGGCTGTGATGATAATGATGATGATAACATGTTTGTTTGTATTAAGAACAGTTTTTTTTACACACGTCCGATTCTCCACTCTTCTGATACACAGTCCTAGTCTAGTCTTAAAACGTCGAAATATTTAATAGCATAGAAAAAATAAGGAAGTATAACACGTGGAGGTCCACCGTGAGGTGTAACCAAATTTTGACCAAACTCGAGGCTATGTTAAATTAATTATGATGCATGAATTTCCTCGAATAGTTGGTGAAACTCTTTATTCTTAGTGTAGTTCTAAATATACTAACTCAAGATAGGCAGGCCGTTCGCTTTAATTTTATAATACACGAGAAAACTTCGGTGAGCTTATCTCTGTCAGGAATGTTTAGTTTAAATATGCGTGAAGTAGCATCATAATGCCTGAAATAAAACCAGAACCACAGTGTACAGTAGGACGAATGGGTCGGCTTGATTGCCAACTGGAAAACTTTCCTTTACAAATCTGAAAAGACGAACGAGTTTATAGTCCACTAGATGTTAAGTGGCTATTGCAGCCCGTTGACACCAGTAACTAACTTCAAATAAAGAAGTTGCTTTCTTTGTTTAAAGTTAGTTGCCGTTTGCCGCCTACAATCATCGGCAAATAATGACATTTGGTGATCTGTACAATTTGGCAAGTCATTTATATATAAAAAAACATTTAGATAAAAAGGAGCGGGGCAAGAACCCTACCCTGAGGAACTCCGTATTTAATTAATTAGATACCGGAAGAGTATATTTTTTCGGTTTTCGACTTGATGTCAATTCGAATAATTTGTATTACTCGTTTCCTGTCTTCCATATAAGATTTCATTACGAGCACGTTTTCGATGATTCCATAATATTATTATATACCTAATTTGTTTAGTAGTATATTATGGTCGAAGGGGTCTTGGCGACTAAGATGGAATGCCTTCACAGACTGTAATTATAATGGCTTTCTTTACCCTTCTGACCGGAATACAACAGTGCATGCATTGTTGTATGGCAGAAATATATAAGAGGACCACCCTCTTTACGGCTATAGAAAATTTAGGAAGTGATTTATTTAATCAACAGATCACTTTATGACTTAGCAGATAATTCGTCAAAATTACCTTATAATTCTTCATTTCGCTCAGTCTTCCAGCTACTATGGAGCCAGCTGTGCCTGCTCCTACAACGATGAAATCGTATACTTCATCAGTTTCTTTTACCGGGTCGACACGGTTGCAAGGTGCTGCGATCTCACAACTACTCTTCAGGTACGCCTCCAACATTATCATGAATAGAACAGCAGCATTACAGACCGTCGAATCCGCAAGTGACACTCCCGTGTCATTTAGTGGACAGGAACATGTCTAAAAATGAAGAAATATGTAAAAAAATATAATAAGTATATCATTCTTTGTTCAATTTTTATTGATGAGTAACATCTTTTCTCTCGCTTTCCCGCGATCTGTGAGAGTGATTTCGTGAAAAGGGACGAAAATCGTAGACACAGAAACCTATATACTAATGATTAGCGTGGCCTCGAGTGAGACAGGACGATAACGTAGTTTTAGGTTATACAATAATCTTTATGACCTTTAAACATGTTTAGATAAAAATTTAATTGTTCTAAGAACTGAACTGAACAAGATACAGCAACATTAAGCTCACAAAACACTTTTTTTTCTCACTTAAACCAACTTGTAAACTCCTCAGATCGCTACGAACTGTCAAAGTTGTTTAGCAAAGTGTAGTTTGCTAAAATAAAAAACCGGCACGGAGAAAGGGACAAACAATCACACCGCTCTGTCTCATTTCTATGCAAGACGTATGCATAAATCTAACTTTTTCGTGTGCGAATTCGAAAGAAGGCGTTAATTTGTCTATAGGTTTCTCTGTCTGCGACGGAAATGTATATTTTGTATAGGAAGCCGGGGACGCACGCGCTAATTGGCTTGACCAATGAGCGCGAACGGTGGTAGTACAGTGCGTTGTTCTATAAACTAATAAAGATGTGTAAACTATATTAATAAATGTATTTAATGTTAATAATAAGTTTTTGTAAAAAAGTGCAGATCATTGATAAAAAATGCTAGTGAGCAATAATGAATGTTCCGAATAGATTCAGTATTTAGTTTTAATACATTTTGAGGTTAACTTCTATCGCTGTTCTATTAATATTTTTAATTTAAGAAAAAAACAAATAGATTTTTTCAAGATCTAGTGATAATGTTGCTTATTACCCAAGCTAAGTGTTAGAATTTACACATCATATGTGACTACTGTAAGGGCTCATACGCGTTATGCGGTTAGCCGTACGGCTATGACGGATACCCAAAAATTTATCATCAAGGTCCAGAGTTGGTCAGTAATTTGGGACACCAATTTGCCAGAATACTATATTGATAAAATGCTGGCAATATAGAAATGAATAGATATGACCGTAAATCGCAACGATTCTGAAACGCATAGTGCGTATGAACATTGAGCACTAATGCTCGCTCGTGTTTTGATACTACAGGTATTTCTATGTCCGATTACGACAGCGACGATTTCTGAATTGCAATTTTTGGTGATTGAACGATGAAGAAAGTTATCTCGAAAGAAATTTGATAGAACCTACCCTTAGCCAGTAACTATAAACAATTTTACATATAAATTAAGTTACAGTAAGCGCAATAAAATCAGTAACAAATATTAAATTTGTGTTTTAATGCAATCCATGACTTAAAAAATGTCTTTACGCTTCTTTTCTAAACAAGTTATAGGTGAAACTCTACACCTACACAACTAACCAGAAAATTCTTTTATAATGCGAAGGGGTTTTGTAAACATAAATATCATATGGACAAACTTAATTGGAGAACTTCAGAGGAGAATTATTAATTGTAGGCTATACTTGTTAAACATAATAAATCACTAGAGTCAATCTACAAGTATGTTTCTAATGTTCAAGTTAAGTCTAATAAGTAAGTTCAAGTTCATCATTAAAAAAACGTTTAAATTTTAATACATATTTATATGTAAAGAGTGTGCAATTTCGTATTTGGAAACGATTGTAACGTCAAAACACATCTCGTGATGACATTTATGCGTGTGAATTTACATGTTAGTGACATTTTAGTGGCAACACGGGCTCCGCCCACTCCACCGTTCTATTATATGTGTTATAGTATTTTACCAGCTTGCCAGGCAGACGTTGTTCTGCCCTTTTGGATGACCTTTTGTCATGTCCTATTAAAAATTCTTAAATTCGCAAAAAGAAAAAATTGTGGGCACTTTGGGCAAAAAAAAATTATCCTATCTCTCAAGTTGGACCAAACTGCACACGGTGTGCAAATTTGATAAAAATCGGTTAAGTAGTTTAGGAGTCCATCGCGGACAAACAACGTGACACGTAATTTATATATATTAAGATGGTCCGTGTTCTTTTATTGATTCTAACGTTTACCAGGCTCTACTTTAAACATTAAATATTAGTACAAATTTGCCATAGTAAAAAGGTTCAATAACATTGTAAATAGAGGAAGAGCTTTCCTTACCTCGGTCGGCAAAATCATGCTGAACCACCTCTTCAATTCGTACACCTGAAAATAATTGGTAAAAAAGTAAAGTAACAATTGCCTACTCTTGTATACAGATATAGAAAACACTATTTCTATAATCAAATTAATATATTATCTCCCATTATTTCATGCATGGTTTTATAGTTGCTTTACACTCGTATCTCGGCAAAACATCAAATTAACTAAGTACCTACTGAAAATAAAATGAATTAATGGCAAACCGTAATTTCTTCCGTCACTTGCTTTTATAGTAAGGTGTTAAATTTTATCTTGTACCTAATTAATTTATCTGTGGTAAGTATATAAAACGTTATTGCACAACTATATGTAATGATTAACGTAAAATGTTTGTTTAGGCATTCAATTAAAAGTCCGGAAGTTTCATACATTTTTGTAAAGAAATGATTAATTTATTTTGTAATATTCTAACATTATAACGTTTTATAGCTTTATAATATTACAAAATATTGTTGGTTGGTGGAAGATAAAATAAGACGAAATAAGTTTATATAAATAAAAATAATATAGGTACGATATGAACAAGGGTGCAAGATTCAAATAATTTTATTAACAGAATTTAAAAAATATATATATATATATAACTGAGTCACGATATCTTGTAGAAGTACATTCAATACTTAAAATTAATGCAAAATACAATCGCATCAACATGTATTGTATGAATAATAAGCAACTTAAATAGAAAATATTTTATAATTGTCGAAATAAAAATGTCTCGCACAACTACGAGTACATTCAATAGATAGGTATAAGTATCTACTGTATAGTACAATCGCATCAGCTGCCTTTTAATCCACTACTGGATCTAGCAAGAATGAGCTGACGCATTCTTGAAAGCGTTATTTGGAAAATTCGCCAATAGACGCAGAGCAAATATTTTTGCTAGCTTTGCTAGATTTTTTTCAAAAACAGAGCAAAACTTGTTCGCGCAGGTACTTAAAATTCATTATTTAATTATATACAATATTAAATATTCATTATTTTCCAACAATGAGTATTTCCGGATTTTTGTTGCAGTCTATACGGAGATTTCAGGCTTATATTATATTCTGTTCATTATTTGAGAATTAGTCCCGTGAATTTTTTAAGTCAAATTAATGAAAAAAAATCTTTAATTTATTTAATTAATTTGACTTAAATGTTGATCTACTCAATAATTAGATTCGACAAATCCAAATAGGGTGTTACCAGTAAATATAATATCGCGAATTTCAATTGATATTATCAATTAAGTTAAATATTTTAAATAAAAACATTCAATCACAAAACATAGACATTGAACTAGTTTTAACGGTCAATTCTGTTTGATATTTACATGACACAAATTAATGACCCAAATTTAAACAATCCAAAATAATTCTGTATTTAGAATTGTTGTATTTAAAACCCTACTCATGTAAAAAAAATTTTGGCAAACCGCTTAATTGAGTCCTCTCCTGCGGGCAGTGTTGCCAACGGATGAAATAGCAATCCGCCAGACAAGGCTCCTCAAACCACCAGAAAATCACTAACAAAAAGATGTCCCCCTCTGAAAACCACTAAAATTTCCACTAAGATATATGAATATGATTAAAGCAAAAAAAAAGTAAAAGTACGTTTATTATTAAAAATCTCATTGTTGTTAATATAATTTTTTTACTTTTAGTAATTAAAAAAATAAAGTTGCTTAAGATATTATTTACACTAATAAATCGTCTTCAGATGAATCTGCATTTTCATTTTCAGCCTTACTGTTATCCTTATCGGACTGATATGACTCCTTCGTCCCAATTTGTTTTATAAGATTTAAAGGAATTTCATAATTGTTGCAGCACTTTCCCATTAACTGCATACCGCAGCGTATTTTTAGAATTGATTTCAAAAGAGTTAGCTTCATTCTGTTTCGCTGCTTGTTTTTTATAATATTCATGCTACTAAAAAGTCTTTCCACATCGGCATTCGAATGTGGCAATACCAAAAGTGTAATCGCAAATGTTGCTAGTTCTTGAAATCGAGCAACACCTTGTGCATCTTTGAATTTCAAGACTTCGCTCCAAAAATTTTTTGTATCTTTTGTTTCATTCCATCTCAGTAAATGAATTTGCTGCCATTGATCGTCAATTTTTGCAATTAATTCTGTACTTGTTACGAACCGAGCCATTATATCAACAAGATTTTCTTTGTTGTGATGCAGGGCTTTTTCGACACTTATACGGGATATTTGTTTCATGAGAGTAATATTTTCCGGCAATCTGTTTTTTATTTCGTCAATGAGACAAACTATAAACTGTATGCACCTATTCCGCAATACTTCTTCCTCTTCCCGGGGAAAACCTTTCTCTTTCATTTCTTGAATATGTTTTTCGAATCGGAATCCCAGGTAGCATCTTTGGTCCAAATAGTCACGAATATTTTGAGTAAAGATATCTATCTTATGTGTAGGCAACGTTACTTTGGTGACAAGCGTATCAATCAAGTTTGTTAATTCACCGCACAATAAGGTGTGGTCCGTATTTTTTGACTCAAACATTTTATTAACTCTGTTTATATCAATCAAAATTGGATAAATAAATGATACATATGCATAGTTTATATCATTCGCATACATAGAGTGCAATAGCTCTGACGTGTGGCACCTTTCGTGCAACTTAGCAATCGAAAAATGAGTTTTAAGCTCCAGCTATTGCGTATAAATTCTCGACACAGCAGACTCTATGGATAACCATCTAGTCTGACAGGCTTGAACAATTTTAAGAGGCTTCTGTCCATCGTTGATGGATTTGTATAGCTCTTTATAGATAACTTGTCTGGAAGACGAGCGAGCAAACCAATCATATGTCTCTCTAATTAAAAATTCAAGATTTCGCGGAAGAAATTCCTTCGCTGCTGCTGAAACAGCCAGTTGCAAGGAGTGGCATAAACAACGTACCAAAACTAAGTGCGGTATTTCTTGTTTCAATCGGGAAAAAACTCCATTATTTACGCCAACCATCACCGAAGCATTATCTGTGCCAATACCCATTAAGTTTTCAATTCGCAAGTCGAAATGTTTAAGCGTCCGCTTTATGGCAGAAACAATACCTTCAGCATTACATGCGTCGAGTTCAGCAAGGTCCAAATAAGTTGAAACTATTTTTTCATGTGTAGTGCTGTAATAAATTATAACTAAACCCAAATATTTTTGTACAGCAATATCTGTGGATTCATCTATTAATAAACTGTATGGTTGATCTTTAATGTCGTTTTTTATAAGTTCTGTAAAATGAGATGCTAAAATATTTTTTATTACATACGTGCACTTAGTTCGGTGCATCTGCATTTTATTTATTTCTTTTTCATGGCTATGGTTAATAACTTCTCCTAAATGATCAACTGTTCGTATACTTGTATGCATTGCTGTAAATAAGGCAACTCTGGCTTCATCTTTCTTTTTTATTATCAGTAGACTCCTTTTTGAATGTCAGCTTAGGTTGTTTGGTGATAACCTATAAACAAATAATGAAATATATAAGAAAAATTTAAATGCAACCTCATTAATTGACCAAGTTCGAACCGTTATAAATAACAAAGACAAAGCTATAATTTACCTTTCTATTTTGTTGGTGCTTTTTCGAAAGAGCATGTGTTTTTAAATCTCCGTAGTGACTTCTTAATATCGTTCCACAAAACTTGCATTTTGCTACTTGGCCAGTGGTACTTTCAACTGCTTGAAGCCATTCTTTTAAATCGGGATCTTGAAGCCAAGAATCCCTAAATTTTTGGGAATATTGAGGTTTCGGCATGACGTCGTATGAATAATATTTTTATTTAAAAATGTGTAATCGCAAAACGAAACAAAAACAAACAACAACGCACATTGAGGCACTGAATCCGAGTGATCGTGCGTGACCGAGTTCAAAAACATTGGACTAAGTATTGTAAAATGCTGTCAAATAGAATAGAAAGCGGAAATTATATCCCTCTCAACTATTTAGTATTCCGGAGAGCGAGATACAGATAGATCTCGCCCTTGCATTCCATCGTTTTATATTAGTTGCCTTATACTAAATATATTTAACGGGGAACCCCCGTGAATGCGTGGATTGGTGTTGCCTGCGTAGTAAAATATACTCCTAAAAATATATAGGTTTATATTTGAAAGTATAAAATATGGCTAAATAGACGTTTGAAACGACTATTTATATGAAACGACTCGTTTCTTATAATTTATTATAAAATTCCTAATCCGCTAAAAAAAACCACTAGCCACTAAAAGCAAAAATTTGCCACTAAAAAGGGGGGTTCCAAACCACCAGATTTAGTGGAAAATCCACTAAGGTGGCAACACTGCCTGCGGGGTATAGGGGGCGCTCGTAGCGTGATACTAGGCTGCACTAAAAGTATCGGGAATGGAATATTTCCACTGTTCCTGTCATATTAAAATCTTTTTAATTGAAAATTCCTTGGTTTTAAAAATCGAATACCATTTATTTATTTAAAAAAAAAAAAGATTCTCGGTCTTGTAACAAGGTTTTGTCAAACTTGTTTAGTCGTTGAGAAAATGGAATTGACTCGAGAAAATTCAAGAGCGATGATTTATTATGACTTTCGAAGTGGTTTAACACAAAAACAGTGTGTTGACCGGACGAGTTCTGCATTTGGTGATGAATCCCCATCCAAAACCACAATTTATCGCTGGATTGCTGAATTTCAACGTGGACGTGTCAAGCTCAGTGATGATCCCCGTCAAGGTCGTCCAAAAACTGCAGTCACCCAAGAAAATGTTGCGTTGATGCTGTGCGTAAGCTGATGGAGGAAGATCGACATGTGACATACCGCGAAATTCAGGCAACTTTAGATATTGGCATGAGTCAAATACAAATAATCTAGCATGAACAATTAGATGTAAAAAAGTTGTTTTCCCGATGGATACCGCATTCGCTCTGTGAAGAACAAAAAGCGGCTCGCGTTACTTGGTGCGTCAGAACTCTCGAAAGATTCCACGCAGGATCCTCAAATGCTGTATACAACATCGTATCAGGTGACGAATCCTGGATATACGAGTACGAACCCGAAAGAAAAAACCAGTCACGAGTTTGGCTGTTCGAAAATAAGTTAAATCCAACAAAAATTGTTCGTTCACGGAGTGTTGCAAAAACAATGGTGGCCACATTTGTCTCCAAAACCGGCCATGTTACGACTATTCCTCTTGAGGGACAAAGAATGGTTAATACAGAATGGTATGCTAGCATTTGTTTGCCACAGGTCGTTTCTGAACTCCGTAAAGAGAACTGCAACCACCGCATCATCCTCCATCACGACAATGCGAGTTCTCACACCGCACACAGAACAAAAGAGTTTTTGGAGCAAGAAAACATAGAATTATTAGACCATCCGCCGTACAGCCCCGACCTAAGGCCTAATGATTTCTATACTTTCCCTAAAATAAAGAATAAATTGCGTGGACAGAGATTTTCATCACCTGAAGAAGCTGTGGACGCCTACAAAACGGCCATTTTGGAGACCCCAACTTCCGAATGGAATGGTTGCTTCAATGATTGGTTCCAATCGTATGGAAAAATGTGTCAAATTTCGCGGAGAATACTTCGAAAAGCAATAAATACATTTTTAAATAGTAATGTTGTGTTACTTCCTTGATTCCCGAAATTTTCAGTGCCGCCCTCGTACACAAGACGCGAAATACATATGTACTTGATAGTTCTTTAGACATGTGACGTCACAGTGGTTAACGGTGAACAGGTGGTTATATTTAATTAGAAAATCTTTGAATTGAAGACTTTATAAAATTATGTGAAACAACACTATGTGTAGGTAACAAAATAAAATATTAGGTAATAAACTTATGTAGATACTATTTATTATATTTTTCCCAAGTTGATCCCCAGGGTAAGTCTGAAGAGTTTTTCCTTCACGTGGTTGCAGCCTGTTATTCGGTCTGGTTCAATAGGAAACAGACAGAACAGAAACACTCAGACGATCCTGTTTTCCTTTTCTTCTTATCCCATCCCCTTTTTCCTATCATAACCAAATTCAAGGTGTTAGCGTACCACGCTGGTGAATGCGTGGCTGGGGGCAGGGGGGGAGGAGTCCAGTTGCAAACGGTGCCTACCCGAGACCAGGGCGATTCGGGTAGTATTTTAGCCCTTTCCTCGGCATGCGGAGCTCTGCCGGGGGGTGACCGAATATTTCCATAACTAATCGTGGGACCGAAATGGATGAAAATCGACATTTTGAAAAAACCCAATTCTTTAATCGAACTGTCTGTAGGTCTAGAAGAAGCTCTTTTAGCCTCACCAACATCCTAAAACACAATGCCCAACCTGGGACGAGCCGTGAAGTGGAGGGCACGTCTGCAGCCGAACCACAACCGGAAACGAACCAGGGAAGGGTCAAGAAAAAGTTTGCTAGGCCTTACGAGCTTAGTGGGGCAGCACTGTAGAGGTACAGGAGGCTGATAGCAGCTGATTCCTAGTAACCTTTTCTCTGAATGACCCATCGGTCGGTCTTTCCGTGCGCTAGGTGGCAGAGTCGGCCTTGGTTTTCAGATGTTAGCTTTTAGGATCAGGGGCGGCTCTGATGCAGTAATGGAGCCTGAACTGCCCAAACTCCAATCCCCTAGTCCTCCACCTTGAGGGATGAGACGTCATTAGTGAGAATGACTGAGAACCGAGGCGCTGATCTCCGCTGTTGTCGGCTAGGGATAAGGGAAAGGGAGGTGGGAGTGCCCTAAAGAAATTGATTGGCGAGAGACTCGAGACTTCTGCAGCGATTTTTGCCTGTGCTAAAGGCCGTATACCAAAAGCTTCTATAATTTACAATAAAAACATTGAAATTATAGTTGTTCCAGAGTATTGCAACGACGACCTGGTTACAGTTTTCATAAATCTTAATGGATGCATAGGGGAAAGAGTAATCATTTGCTCATCTTCCCGTAGAGAACTCAAATCCTGCCATCGAGTTAGAGTGAGTTCGCCGGAAAACACAACGTAGAACTTGTGGTGGGGTGTGATTTTAATGCTCACAACACAGCCTGGGGAAGCACTAACATTAACGAAAAAGGTGAGTTACTTTATGACTTTCTTATCTCCAACCGCCTGGTAAGCCTAAACTTAGGGTCTACACCAACCTTTGTAACGTGTGCTAGGCAAGAAGTGTTAGATATAAGCTTTGCTTCCGATAACATATCCAGGCGGATAACTGACTGTCATGTTAGTATTGAAAACTTGATGTGTCATTAAGTTAAATCCAAAAAAGACGCAAAAACAACTCTACCCAAAAAGTTCCTTGGTAGGACACTAAGCTACAAGAGCTAAGGAAAAAGACCAGGATACTATTCGAAAGGGCCTAAAAACCAAAGAGTGGGGTATTTATAGTGCAGCCCTAACCGAATATAATAAAGTAATTAGAAAAGCCAAGAATGCATCGTGGGGAAAGTTATGCGAGGAAGTTGAGTCTTTGCCTCGCAGTGCAAGATACAAAATGCTATCGAAGGCTAAACCTAATCAGATCGGGCTTCTTAAAAAGCCTGAT